TATATTATATATATATATTATATATATATATTGTAAATGCTAAATATATTTATTAAAAAATTTGGCATATATAACAGATTTATTAACTAATTAAAAATATTGTATGATAAAAATATTATTTCAGGAAAATTTTCAAAAGGAATATATAAGTTAAAATTATCTCAAAAAAATGAGTCTAGGTAATGTAGCACCCAAATTTCGTGATACTTTTCATCTAGCAAATAAAAATGTATTAAGATGGTTCCCTGGACATATGAGTAAAGGATTAAAACAAATGCAGAATCAGTTAAAAAATGTAGATTGTATCATTGAAGTTCATGATGCAAGAATTCCAATTTCTGGACATTATGCAGATTTTAATAATGTTTTAACTGGATTGAAACCTCATATTTTTATATTAAACAAAATAGATTTAAGTGATATGAGATTTAAGGATTCTATAATAGAAAGTTTAAATAAGAAGGGATTATATAATATATTATTTACTAATTTTAAAAATGTAAAATGTGAAGGTGTTAGAGAATTAATACCTTTAGCACAAAAATTAATTAAAAAATCAAATCGACATAATAGATCAGAAGAATCTTCATTTCAAATGATGATTATTGGTATTCCAAATGTAGGAAAATCATCATTAATCAATCGATTAAGAAATAATATCCTGCATAAAAGTAGTGCTGTACAAGTTGGTGGTATTGCTGGCATTACACGATCTGTATCAACAAGAGTTAAAATATCAGAAAATCCAAATATTTATGTTTTAGATACACCTGGAATTTTAATTCCTAAAATAAATGATATAAATACTGGTCTAAAATTAGCATTAGCTAATTGTATGCAAGATCATTTAATAGGGCCAGAATTACTTGCAGATTTTTTATTATTTTGGTTAAATAAATATAAACGATTTGAATATGTACAAAAATTAGGATTAACAAAACCATCTGATAATATATCAGATGTTCTTATATATATTGCAGCAAAATTTAAAAAAACTTTAAAAATTAAGAATTATGATGGTAAAAAAATTATAAAGCCAGATTTAAGATTTGCAGCAGAATATCTTCTCTCTTTATTCAGAAAAGGAGAATTAGGTTATTATTGCTTAGATGAAGATTTGTTATCATTATTATCAACAAGATGAAATTCAATATAGAATATATAGGTATCATATATTATTAAATTTATTTATACATATTTTTTTTGTTTATATATAATTCAATAAATTGAGAAAATTTAAAAAACTGAATTGAAATATCTATAATTTTATGTAAATAATAATTAAAAATAAAAAATAGTAAAAATAGTGTTAGAGATATTATATAATTATTTTACTGCATATTGAAATATTAAACTATAAATTATATCAAATGTATATACAATATACATATTGCAATAATATATCGTAATTCAAAAAAAAAATTTATTTTTAATATATAAATTATCTTCATATTATATTTATATTACAATACATTTTTTTATATAATTGTATAATTTTTTCAAAGAAATTTTCAAAATTAATTCTAAATTATATTATCTTATTTAGATTTTCTAATTTTACGAATTTGTTCGTAACATTACGTACCGTTATGTACGTATTAATGTACAGTCCCCTTCTTCGTACATATAATTCTTACTTTCACTTAGGGAACTTTCCATAATGTTATAACAGTTTGTAAATTTTTCAACAAGACATTGGTGAAAAAATATTTTTAATAGGATTATTTCATGAATGAAAATTATAATTATATATATTATATTAGAATTGATTTATTATTTCATTGAATATATTTTAAATTGTAATAATTATTTTTATTAATTAAAATTATAACAGCAATGTTTGCAAGGATAACATTTTATCCAACATTAGTTTATAATGTATTAATGGAAAAAATTTCATCGAGAAATTGGTACGATAGAATTGATGAAACTGTTATATTAGGTGCTTTACCATTTCGAAGTATGACAAAACAGGTATATAATTATAATATTATAAATAATATATTATTAATAATTAATTTTCAAACTTCAGAAATAAATAATAAATATTTTAAAAAAATTTAAGAAATGTATACATATATAATTTAAATTTAAAAAATTACGTTCGGAAAAATAAGATCTATAAAATTTTAGTTAATAGCTGAAGAAAATGTTCGAGCTGTTGTTTCAATGAATGAAGATTATGAATTACGGTTGTTTTCCAATGAAAAGGTATATATATTGAAATTATCATTATGTAAATGAAATTTTTTAATTAAAATAATATCAAAATCAATAAGCAATATTTAACTGCTTAATATTATACATTTTCTAGGAATGGAATAAAAATAACATAGAATTTTTACAGTTATCTGTAACAGATATTTTTGAATCACCTTCACAAGAAAAGTTATATCTTGGTGTAAATTTTATCAATAAATTTCGTGATGTTGCAAATACATTAAATAATTCTATTAATTCTGATAAAAGTTATCCTAAAAGTGTTTATGTACACTGTAAAGCAGGGAGAACACGTAGTGCAACATTAGTTGGATGTTATTTAATGATGGTAAGATAATTGAAAATATATGAATTAAATTTTTTAAAAAATTTTATAATTCTTCAATAAAATATCAAACATTTTATATTATATTATAATGTATATCTAGAAAAATCAATGGACTCCAGAAGAAGCAATAATGTATATGCAGCAAAAAAGACCACATATATTATTACATAAACAGCAATGGAATGCATTGACACTCTTTTATAATAACCATGTAAAAAAATAATGAATAACACAAATATATGTATATATATAATTATTAATATAAAAATATATATAATAATATAATAAAAAGAATTTTTATAATAAATAATTAAAATAATGGCTATGTAAAATTAATATTAATTTAGATATATATATGTCGTTTTATAAAATAGATTTCTAACTTTTTTCAATTAGTAATAAGAATAATTAATAAATACAATATTTCTAATTTTATAATATATTTTATTATTATATATTATTTAAATAATTTTTGAAATTATATATATTTATGCTTAAAATAAAAAATTGAAATTTTTACAATAAATATAAATTATTAAAATT